GAACAACCATAGGACCATTGATAGTATCCGTGAGATTTAATAAGATTGTCCATATTATATGGGTGGAATCCTATGCATGAAAGAATTAACTCTGAGGCTGAATCGCACTTTATAGGCACCGTATTTGCGACGACATTTTTCGAATTAAGTCGTCACAAAAGATGCAAGCTTAACTGACTTAGTTTATATTTTTTGCGACCACATTTGTAAAGCTTAAATTGGCAGCATATTTCGTTGAAGAAAGAAAACCTTAAGACTGATATCAGGAACATAAAGGCCTACTTTGATCAAGAGATAGTTGAGTCGTATACCGATGAGGAATTGTTGAGGTTGTTGTTCTTAGACGGGTGTGCAGTGGTAGGGTTTATACACAGTTATGTGAATAAGAAGTTAAACATGTTAAACATTAGTAATGCTCAGGCAGCCTTGATCCAGCAGGATTTGTTTTTGTTAGAAAACCAAATACCCTTACCAGTCCTTAGGAATGTGTTGATGTGCTTCAACAAGCAGGAATCGACAGGTACTAAGGATTTTATACACGATTTTTCCAGATTTATTATTATGAGTAGTTTTATTGTTACAAATGCCTCTCTTATCACGTAGATAAAGTAAAATATTTGTGCCGACAACATTTTGGGACGGGAAGTGATAATTACAAGCCTTATCACATTCTTGACCTTCATCGAAGAATGCTCTTAAGTACTTATGATCGTGGTCATCATCATTCTCATGGTGCCCGCAAAATGTGGAGGAGGATATTTTGTATATCCATGACTTGCTGTCTGTGCATTTTCGTTGCTTTAGGAGCACTTATAGATTGTTTCATAGAGCGCTTAAATACACCATATGATCTCCCAGAACATTGGAGCAACATGCAGTCTTTCCGCAATGTCCAGGAACTTAAAGCAGCGGGTATAAAGTTCGTTGCTTAAAGGAATTTTCTTGGATTCCTTCTTATATAAGCTTGCTAGATATACTCATTGATAATGAACACAACGTCAAGGACCTAAGGGCAGCTGGCGTTCTTCGGAACAGTCTCAGTAGCGATGGAGAAGCAGCTCAATTGATCAATAGCATTACAAAATTGCTTTAAATGCTTTGCACGACCCATTGACAATTATGGGTATGTCATGTACAACATAGAAACGCATTACAAAATTGTTAATGCCTCGAGCATTTGGAAACCTCCAACTCCGACAGACACTCCTTACCATCGTAGGCCTTCAACTAAAGTTTCTTCAAGTTCTAAAGTTTCTAGGTTTCTAAGCCTCCCAATAGTGCGTGAAATTGATGCAACCTTGGTAAAAAGACAAGTTTATATACCTCAAATTGTATAGTTTGGTGCCGCACCCTGGAAATGTGTCCAAAGGCAATCCTGAGCAATTCAACACCTAATTTCTAAAGAATTCCGACATAAAAAATGCTAGAAACATCATTAGTTTTACTAAAAAAATGTGCTGAGAGTGAAGTCTAGAAAAGTTGAGGTACTTCCCCTGCAATTTCTCTAATGTTGTTCTTGGTCGTACTTTTTCAAGAAGGATTGGATTTTTTTCAACGACTATTGCAGTGCAATTTTGTTCTTCTGATTTTTGAAGGATAATTTTCCTTACAAGGTCGTGAACTTGGAATACAGTAAAGTTTTCATCAAAGTGTTCCATAACCATTTGGATCAAGCTTCTATTATAAAGCTCATTGAAATATATCTCTCCAACTTCTTCTGGTTAGACTGGCCCTACCACACACCAGATCCTGTTCCGCCACAGCATGTAACAAAATCCCAAAAACCAAATCCCATTCGGCAATTGTCCATTCACCCATACGACACCGTCCATTATATCATCACCAAAATCCTCACATTTGCTTTCAAAACAAATTCTTTTTTTTTTCACCGCTCAAATTCTTTTACTATAGTGTTTTTTCTCTTAAAAATTAAAATTTAACTTTTTTTGTGCAATATTTCTCTCACATAAAAAGTTTGAGTCGTGACTTGAGTTTTGAAAAGAACATACATGCCTTCACTAAAGCGTTCCTGAGAGGGGAGAGAGAGAGAGATATTTATTCTTTGTTTTTATTTTTTTAAAATTTATTATGCTTAACTTTTGTGTAACTAATGACTAATTCAAATATTATTTGATAGAAATTATTGAGAATATTTAATGGTACTTTAAAACCTTTGTGGTTAAAGGGCTATTTTTAATTATTTTTCCAAACTTAGGGATAACCTTGAGGTACTTTAAAAACTTGGGGAATAGTTTTTGAATTATTAAAAAATATATAAGGGAAAAATGTGGTAGTAAGCTAAAATTCAATCCCTAAGTCAATCTATATATAAGCTGCACTCTTTTTGACAACTTGTGATCAATTTGACGACGTCAAAAATGCTTAGTCGTTATTCAAAAAAACAAAATGCAAAGTTGGCCAAAGTGGGGCATCTTTGTTCATTGCTAAACTGTTTAATTTGACTCTTTTAAATAGCGTCAAAAAACAAAGTCCAATTAAAGTGGGGCGTCTTTATTGTCGATTATAATGTATATATTTTGAATCCTTAAAGGCATTATATACATTCGCCTGTCCACTATTCTTAGTCTAGCTTGACCTTATTCACCAATCAATTTAGTATACATACATACATATTATGTTATCAGCTTATGAGCCTTTGTAAACCTAAACCCTATACCGGCAAGATGAGGTTAATATGGTTTCTTTTGTCCTCTCGGGGGGCTGCTGCGTAATTCTTAATTAAACATATCGATTTTACCGTGTTAAATCTATAAAATAAGATTAAATACTGTGTCATTTTAAGTTGACCTGTCAATCTGTAATTGACCGGTCATGACTTTTTTATTAAACGTATTATATTTAAGTAATACGAATATATAAATCTCGTTCGTTTCACGAATTTAAATTTTTAATTTAAACTGAAATGTGATATTTTTTAAGAGTTTTTAATTATAATAAAAAAATTAAATACGGTATTTTTAAAAATTTTTAACCGTAAAAACTTAAAATTAAAAATTCAAATCGGTTAAATAAATAAGGTCATAGTCCATTAATTTCCTATTCACAACTATATACTTTTTTTAATACTTAATAATATATTCTTTTCTTCTGAAGCTAGGGTTTTCACTTATTGCCTTCTCTCATTTTCTCACTCACCCGCCGCTATCTCCTTCTCCAGATAGCTCCAGCGCCGCTCTGTTTGAAACGGCTCCACCGCCGCTTCTTCTTCTTCTTCTTGGGAGCTTCCCTTCTACTACCGGAAAGAGGAGTTTACCACCGCCTACGCCTACATATTCCACTCACTCTATCCTCTTTCATCCTATTCCAAGGCGAGGGAACGGGACTTCTATCTTTCTTTACAAAGCGGGGCTTTACTCTGAAGCAGGCGAGCAGAAAGGCTAAAAAGAAAGGAAATCTAGTTCTTCTCATTTCTTCATCAGATCGGCCTTCGTGAAGTCTTCTTCTTTTTCGTCTTCGTCAAATTCGACCTTGGGGAAGTGAGATTCTCAGAAATTTGAGGAATTGGCTTTTCCTGAAATCCCACATTTTATATTGATCTTTTCTTTAAGGGGTAATTCATTCTTAGGACAATTATGGAAGTTTTAGTAGCAATAAAAGCATTAGCTCGAGTTCCTTATGTTGGGCTTTCTACATATTTTGCTTTTAGTTATTATTGTTGCATCAAAATTGTAAATCAAGAAATATGATGTCTAATTAAGCTGTTCTGTAACACAAAAAATGGTTGAATGGTTCTTGTCAATATGTTTCTAAGAACTAAAGATAATGTTCTTCAACGCTTTTCATTGCCTTTATGGTTCTTCTTTTGCAGGGACAAAATTTTTGAACAGCAAAAAACTTTGTATCCTTTTTCACTTTTTCTTGTATTTACAACTTCTGAAGTATGCAAGTTGTTTCCTTGTTTGTTTTATCTAAACCTTGCTACAAGAGAATACATGATTTTCTTGACTCTATGGCTTCAAAGCTCAGATTTACGAAGGAACATAGATAACTTGGAGAAGAATAGTGTTACCAGTCTTGGAACACCGGTTAATCTTGGCTCTGAAGTGTACATGCAAGCTGATATGTAAGTCTTGAGTATTTCTTTCTTTTCTGGTATTTCATTCTGTATGTTTAATAATCCATGATTGCGTGTTTGAATTTCGGGTATCACCACATGTTGGCATGTTATAGTTTGATGAAAATTGGCCCAAAGAGCGCCCAATTCAAAGTAATGTTGCTAATAACTGTGGTCCTTTATGTTTTGCTTGCTACAGCCCAGATACAAAACGCATTTTTGTGGATATTGGACTAGGATTTCATGTGGAGTTCACATGGTCAGAAACTATAAATTACATATCTCAAAGGGAGGAGAAACTATCCAGGTAGGGATTTTTTATTTGTATTTTTTGAAGCTGGATGCTATCATGTTGGAAGTTTCTGTTGTAGATAGGTCAACGGTTAAAATCCAATGTAGAACAAAATTTAGTCTTGTATTTATCTGTCAACTCATCCAAGGCCCGAATTTCTTTTTGTTTGAAATTTGTATGAGTTCGTCCAACTCAATACCTTAAATTACTTTTTGCAGGCAAACTGAAGAGTATACTCGTCTTATTGCATCAATTAACGCCAGATCAAGCTGGTACGTCCCTTCATCATTGTCATCGTTATTGTGCTGTTTTTCCGCTTATATCTATTGTAAAAGCAGAAGACTGCTTAAGCTTACTATTTGTGTCTACAAGTCATGTAATGATCCTTGATATCATTTGTTTCATAGGAAAAACAGATCACCCATTTGTTAGGGGTGAGAAAGTTGAGAAACAGATCTTTAAGTACAAATAGGTTGAAAAACATGTTGATAAACAGGTTGATTAATAGGTTGACATGACCCATTTATCACCCCACAAATAGGTTGAAAAACATGTTGATAAACAGGTTGATTAATAGGTTGACATGACCCATTTATCACCCCTTTTATAAACGGGTTGGAAAACAGGTTGAGAAATAGGTTGACACGACCTATTTATCACCCGTTTTATAAACGGGTTGGCAGGTAATCAATAGTTTGGTATGACATGATTATGACCTATTTAATAAACGGGTTAGTCGTGTCGTGTTGTTTCAACCCGCCAATAAATGGGTCATGTTTGGGTGTGGTATTTCGACACGAATAATAAATGGGTCGTGTTCATGTCAGGTCTTATCGTGTCAACTGAGGGGGTCAACATGACATGAACACGACACGGCAACACGAATTGCCACCCCTACCTATTCTTTAACAGGTAGTTTACCGAGTTGAATTTCAATCAAATTTTACTACGAACAAAACTCTAAAATAGTGGTTATTTATTAACTAATTAGGAATAAATTAGTGCTGGCTTTTATGATGTTAAGGTCTCGTTTTGTTTTGTTATGGAAATGTCTTTTGCGTTTTTTGATGTACTTCTTTTTGGAACCGTTCCTAAAATAGTGGTTATTAATTAATTAATCAGAAATAAATTAAAATTAGATTCATAAAAAAAAAGGCGGACCCCAGTGCCAAAGAGGCTCCCGTACTATGACAGGCTCGGGGGAAAGCTCAATCCCATAAATTAAAATTAGATTCATAAATCTAAATAAATCTAAAACAATAAAAAATAAACTCAAATCTGATTGACAAAATCTCATGAACATAACACATTCGCTCAAAACAACTCGGATGAAATAAAATCTTCAGCCACTGCGAAATGACTCTGCAGTTGCCTATAATTGTGATATTAGAGAATGAGATCATAATCGTTCAAACCCTTATAATTGCACTCTTAATCTCCTTTTAAATTGTTCATGTGCTAAGCCTTTAATCGGCAAACTAGCACTCTGTATATATTGTTTCCTGATGATAATAAACAACAAATTAAGTTGTTCTTCTAACAATCATCTTTCCATTTTCAATTTTATTTATTTATTTATTTTTTGCAGGTCAACTTATTTCATTAGCTCTAGCTAGTTTGGTTTAGCTCTAGCATAATGATAATTTGGTTCTTGAACTTTTAATTTGGCATATATATTTAGTCCCCGATTTTCATTTTTTGACAGATTTAGCCCCTTGCAGTAAAATTGACAAATAATTTTTGAAATTCAACAAAGATAAACATATGTCCATCCCGTGATAATTTAAAATTTTACAAAAAGAGTTACATTATATATAAAATTTTCTCTTTGTTATTAAAACTTATTAAAAACTATGGGCTTGTTCGTTTGCATTTTTGAGTTATGGTGACTTGAGTGTAGATCTTGAGTTGAATTTGAGTTATAACTTGAGTTGAATTTGTAACTTGAGTTTTTGTTTGGTAATGTACATTTGAATTATGATTTGAGATGTGAATCTTTTTGAGTTTGTGTTTGGGTTGGTAAAAAATTGACTTTGTATTTGAATAATATTTTAATAAAAACTCAATAGTGATGGAAAATTTTAATTGGGTATATGGGTGAGGTTTTATTCGTCTCTTCGTTGTTAACGGATAGAAAAAAAAATCATCTCTATCGGAATTAAAACGAAAATGTTATGGCGTTTTAAGAATAGAAAAAATACTGTTTATTAACTTAAATTTGAGTTTAGGAACTTGAGTTGAAGGAAAAACTTGAACTCGGATTTTAGCTCCAAACTCAAGTTAAAACTCAAATTTTATAGAACATGAATTTGAATAAAGTTGTAATTTGAGTTCAAATTTTTTTTTTTTTGAGTTTAGGTGCAAAAGAACAAGCCTTATAATGTTTTGTAGACACAATAACTATTGGTGCCAAATTTTATGTTATTATGTGATAATATTTGATTATCTAGCTAAATTTTAGAATTCATTTGTCAATTTTACTGTCAGTGATCAAAACTATTAAAAAAAAATGGAAGTTTAGGGACTAAGCTCTTGTTTGATAAATATACTTGAACCCATGATTTTGATTACAATGTTTTTTATCTAACAAAGAATTTGAATTCAGAAATATCTTCTCTCACAAAGCTTTCGCTAATAAATCAAAATCACTAACTTGAATACATGAACCAACAGGTACTTTAAATATGCCAAGGTTAAAAGTCAGAGACCAAATTATTATTATGCTTAAAGTTTAGGACTAACACAGCTAATAGCCCTATATTTTAATTGCAATGACTATTTCAATATGTGGGAGGCTACTCCTCATCTGGGAGAGCCATAATTTCAGCTGCTGGCTCAAACATTATGAACATCCAGAACTGCAGCAATAATTATTTATCAAATGGTAGCATATATTAATATGGGGAGTTCCAACTTCCAAACCAGCCAACTTTTGTGATTAGTTTACAGAATTTGAGAAAGGAGACAAGCTATTATTATTACCTTTTTTTCTATAAAAAAGAAAAACAGAGATGCTTGCAAGAACAAATAATTTGTTCCCAGATCATTGGTCTCTGGTTTTCAAAATTGTTCACTCGCTTGCAATTTGAGCTCAAGATTCAAGCTCTTTAATTTGAAAGGTAATTTGTGTAGTTTTCTTCCATGCATTTTCTGGAATAAGTTATTATCACAAAGTTTTAACAGTATTATTAGATGTGTTTTCTTTTCTACTTATGGCTTGTATTAGTTTTCTTTTCATGCGAAGTTTTCAGTTGTGTTTTTTCATTCTTTTATAATGGAATATAATAGTGCCTATTAGGATAAACTTTAGGGAAAATCTTCAATGGGGTCATTTCCCCGTGTATGGGGAACAAATCATAAACCATACAATGGTTTTTGAAGGACTCGGATTAAAAATGATACACCAAATAATTATAAGATAAAATACACATGATTACACTTAAAAAGGAAAAAAAAAAAAATCTCTCCCTAAATTTGAACCCAAATCTGTCTATGACTTCCCTCACCACCTCCGATGATTTTGTCTCATAATTGACTTGAGGTTTTATTTTTCATTTTTTTTTTGTTTTTTTGTTTTTAAGGTATTCAGGGGTGCAAATGTACCTGAAGTGAGACTGAGTAATTGTTGTAGTTACTGCTTAAGCAGAAGAGTAGTTCCTTGTTTTCGAAGACTTAGGTTGAGAAACGAAGTTGGAAAATGAGTTTTTTTTTTTTCTCTTCTATTTTTTTTCTGTACTAAGAAAGGAAAGATTTATTGTGTGGTTTGTTTGTTTCTAGGTGCACAACATAAGTTACAACCATTCCATTCAATAGTAATCGGTTGGCTGACAATTTATGCCACATCGATGGGGTATGTAGCAGGCCCCCAATAGAGCTATTCCCTGGGAATTGAATGATTTCATTACTCATTTACACCCCGTTTGCTTCGCGGGTTCATCAGGTTTTGAACTAGAGAACAAGTTTGAACGAATGTTTGATTCTTTTTTTCTGAACCTGGGCTGTGGGTTTAGAATCATACTAGATGAGTTTAGTACCCATTTAAAAGAACTTAGCTCCCTTAAATTCTATGGGTTCGAACCTCTTTGCTACAATATTTTCTAGTATAAAACCATGGATCTATTTACGAGTTACTCACAATTCTCATACTTACTTAACATAGAACTTTTATTCTTTGACATGAAGTATATTACATGTTCAAAGTTTATACTTTCAAACACCAGTTTGAACTAAAGTAAACCCACATAGATATAACACTTTTAGTTCAAACGTAAAAACTTCAAAAATATCACACAATTTTAACCGGCGAAGAGAACCAGCCCTTAGTGTAAAGTAAAAAAAGTTGAGCTCAATCATCATCAAGTTTGTGAGGGTCTATTTGCAATACCATTTTCTTTTTTAGGTACAAGAGAAGATGTCCGTTGAGAGCAATAGTCTCACTGTTGATGCAACAGAAAAGCAAGAGGAGATACGGGTAGCTGATCAGGATCAGGAAAGAACATGGGAGAGTCAAGATAGCACAAGCCATTCTAAAATTAATGTTCTTACTTACGATGACGTCATTAAGGTGACTGAAGATGAGAAACTGCTACATGAAATGGCCATAAGAATCAACACCCTTCACGCAATAGAAACACGTGAAAACAAGGAGCACATAGTCATACAAAAGGTTCCAGAAATCATGGTAAGGAATGAATACTGCAAAGAGTATTTTACACCAAGAGAGTTGTCAATTGGTCCTATTCATTCTGCCGATTCTAGTTTGTTCAAAACGGAACTCAAGCTTAAATTGGCAGCATATTTCGTTCAAAAGAGCGGCAGAGAGAAAGCATTCTTACTTGAAAAACTTAAGACTGATATCAAGAACATAAAGGCCTACTTTGATCAAGAGATAGTTAAGTCGTATACCGATGAGGAATTGTTCAGGTTGTTGTTCTTAGACGGGTGTGCAGTGGTAGGGTTTATACACAGCTATGTGAATAATAAGTTAAACACGTTAAACATTAGTAACGGTCAGGCAGCCTTGATCCAACAAGATTTGTTTTTGTTAGAAAACCAAATACCCTTACCAGTCCTTAATGCGTTGATGTGCTTCAACGAGCAGGAATCGACAAGTACTAAGGATTTTATACACGATTTTTTCAAATTTATTATTATGAGCAGTTGTTTTGTTACAAATGCATCTTATCACTTGGAATATTTGAGCCAACAACATTCTGGAACGGGAAGTGATAATTACATGCCTCGTAACATTCTTGACCTTCATCGAAGAATTCTTTTAGGTACTCTTCCTAAGTATTGTCGTCATCATCGTACTGATTTTGCCCGCAGAATGTGGAGGAGGGTATTTTGTATATCTATCCTTTGCTGTCTGTGCATTCCCGTTGCTTTAGGAGCACTTATAGATGGGTTCATAGAGCGCTTAAATACACCATATGATGTCCCAGAACATTGGAGCAACATGCAGTCTTTCCGTACTGTCCAGGAACTTAAAGCAGCGGGTATAAAGTTGGAGCCAACTGATTCTCTGAAAAAAATAGCTTTCCAATCTCAATTTTTGATTAGTGGGCAATTGTTGCTCCCCACACTAATAGTTGACAACTCGACTGCACGTATGTTGTTGAATTTAGTCGCGTATGAGATGTGTGTGTCTAGACAAATATCTCTCGAGAGTTTTCACAAGGAATTTTCTTGGATTGCTTCTTATATAAGCTTGCTAGATCTACTCATTGATAATGAACACGACGTCAAGGACCTAAGGGCAGCCGGCGTTCTTCGGAACAGTCTCAGTAGCGATGGAGAAGCAGCTCAATTGATCAATAGAATAGGTTCTAATTGCTTTGCACCACCCGTTGACAAGTATGAGCATGTCAAGTACAACATAGAAAAGCATTACAAAAGAAAGTGCACGATCTGGACGGCTCAAGTCTGGTATGCCTATTTCAGTAGCCCGTTAACAGTTCTAGCTTTGATTGCCGCTGCTGTGGTACTTGTTCTAACTGCTGTTCAAACTTGGTATGCTGTTAATCCAAAAAATTAGAAGGTAGAAAATACTCATTAAATCAAATTAACTTTCCTTATTTTGTTGCTTCGACTATATTCCACTTTATATATCAAGGTTCTTAATTTGACAATTTAATTCAGGAAACCGTAAACAGGTAGTTGGAACGGAATTGCCAGGTCCAAGTGAAGATTGCTCTTGGAATGATCTATCACAACTTTTCTAGTTTTTAATGAACTATCAAAACATGGTAGTATTTTGATGTTTGCTTCGAATTTGTGGTTCATAACTTGTTAAAATGTTTCTTTTCATTGGAAGGTTTTTATGTAGCACTTCTTTGTGTGGGTTGTTTGGATGTTTTTATTCAAAAGCGTACTGCTGTGTTTCTTCTCTGTAATTTGTAATATAGGTTGATAAAGATTATCATATTTATCACAAGTACAATGATACTCTTACTATCGAAGCATTAATTTCTTTGGACATCTATTTTTTATAATTGTAAAAAAAGAAAAAAAATCAAATAATAAGAAGCGTTAGAATAATACTGAATCACCTAGGAACGACGAAGTAACGTTGAATGTTCCCTATTTTACTTTGCGAGTTTCGAATGGGAATGGTTCTGATGATTCCAATGTACAAATTACAAAAACACACTGTATCTGTAGTGCACAGAGATGTGCCATTGAAGATGTGCTAATCTTACATTAATGCTGGGATTATTAATGTTCATGATGGGATTAATTACAGTTGAAATAGCAGATACAAACCATTTCTGTCCCATTCCACGCACGACTTCCATGCGCAGCACCCTCCGATTTCACGCATCTGTCGTCTCAGGGCGTTGAAAATGTACAAGGCCATGGCCAGGATAGGCTTTGCTTAAATGCGCAGACGACGTTCATTACCGCTGATGTCTCTGTAAGAAATATAAAAAGGATAAAAAATATCACTTGTTTTCTTATAAACAAGTGGGACTTTTGGCTTTTCATCTTCCAAGAGATGATAGAATCTCTCTACAATAGATATGATTGGTGTTCATAATTACATATTTTGTAATATGAACTCTTTTCTCTTTAATTTTTTTTTTTTCCATTGCTTTAAGGTGTGAGTTTCAACTCTATTCCAGATATTTACGGCTTGACAATTTTTATTTCTATTTGTTGCATTATTCTTGTTTCTAGCTGCTTAATGTCAAACTTTTTAATTTTCATCTCTTATCAACAATATTACAGTGGGGAATTTGATAGAGGATAAGGTAGCTAGTGAGAGTGCCAATTACCTAACTAAGATGTGTTCAGTGCTTAATTGTCTTTCATTATATGAGTTTTACGTATTGGGAGAGAAATTAATAGAGTCAAAATATCACATATATGTATAGGCGTATGATACGATCCATATAAACGGAGAAGAATTCATAAGTAATAACTCTATATATACACATAAAAATACGTATTGAGAAAGAAGAACTAAAAAATCATGAATGTAAATAATACTAACCATAAATGAAAAGCAAGAGAGGACAGAAGAGGGTAAAGATGTGGCAGCAGTAACGTAATGAAGAAGGCATGTGCGCCTAACGTGTCTATTTTCATTTGGGATATAACAGTCGTTTGTCAAATTTAACTATCAACGATTAATAAAGTCAGAGGCAAATTGTCAAAGTTAAAAATTTAGGAGTAAGTTAGCAATACAAATAAGTACACGGCCAAATAATTTAAGGGCTCGTTTAGTTCGCTAATTTAAGTTTTTAATTTGAGTTGAGATATGATTTTATATGAGTTTTTTATTATAATAAAAAAGTTAAATGTAACTGTTTCTGAGAGCTTTTTATTGTAACAAAATTCAAATTTTAAATTCAAATCATTAAAATGAACGAGACTTAAATTTAGCCTTTTGTACTCCATCAACTTAAATTTACTTTTTATACAATAATTTCTATGTTCCAATTCGACCTATCTAGTAAAATGCTTTGTAAGGACATAACTTTCTTCAGAAGCTGATTTTTTTTATTTGATTATAAAATATATCTTGAGGGTTTAATTAAAACTAACTCCACGATTAGTTGCCGAAATTGAAAAACGATGTTCATTAATTGTATTGGATTCAATTTACCTTAATTGAAAAACGATGTTCACAAACATGATTCTCACACCATTTTTATTGTTTTTTCTCTTCAAAAAAACCTGAAAAACGTTTTCCAAAAAGGAAACAAACACTCCCAAAGTCTTTGAAAAATGTGCCTAAAAATTTAAAGACATGCCTCAAACGAATCTTGAATTTTGTGCAGAACCTAGGAATGTCTACCTTGCGTTGTTGGTTGATGGGATAAATCCGCATAGTAATTTTAGAAGCAAACACAATACTCGGCTCATCATTCTTGTAAAATTAAATATTTTGCCAGACTTGTGTATGAAGCAAAAGTTTCTAATATTGACCTTGTTGATTTCTGAACCTAATCAACCGGGAAAGGACATTGATGTCTACTTGGCATCGTTGATTGGCGAGTTGAGGAGATTATGAGAAAGTGAGATCGAAGTTAACGACTGTTTCCGCGATGATTCCTTCGTATTCCGAGCAATGTTGATGTGGGCCATTAACGACTTCCCTACATAAGGAAACCTATCTGGGTACTCGTTTAAGAATTTCATAGGTTGCCCTGTTTACATAACAGAGACATCTTCGATTCGGTTGAAACATGGAAAGAAGACAGAATACGATGGCTATAGGAGATTCTTGCCTATGAATCATCGATACCGCAAACAAAGAAAAGCTTTTAATGGTAAAACAAAAGAAAGACCACCTCCAAGACCTTTGACATGTAAACAAGTATTTGAGATGGTGAAGAGCGTACAAGTGGTCTTCGGGAAGAAGGAAGGAACAAATAATGACCTAGTGATCGGACCTTGGATGAAAAAGTCAATTTTCTTTGATCTTCCATATTGGAGTTCCTTGTTAATTCACCATTACTTTGATGTCATTCACATTGAGAAGAATACTTGTAAGTCGATAGTTAGCACGCTACTTGACATCCCTGGTAAAACTAAAGACAATCTCAATGTATGGTTGGATATCATGGAATTGAATATTAGAGGTGACTTGGCTCTTGAGAAAAGAAGCTCCCGCACTTACTTACCTCCAGCTACACATTATTGAGACAAGAGAAGAAAAATTTTGTGAATGGCTTGCTTCTGTCAAAGTTCCAGAAGGGTATTCATCTAACTTCAAGAACTTGGTGTCCGTGAAAGAATTGAAGCTGACTAGCATGAAGACACATGATTGTCATACTTTGATGCAACAACTGTTGCCACTTGCATTGCATGGGATTCTAACAAAGGAGGTCAGATTTGCACTTACTAAGTTTTGCTACTTCTTCAACTCCATATGTTCTAAGCTAGTAGATCTAATGACATTGGATACACTACAATTAGAGTTGGTGGTAACCTTGTGCATGCTAGAGAAGTATTTTCCACCATCATTCTTCGACATCATGATTCATCTAACGGTACATTTAGTCTTTGAAGTTAGGCTTTGCGGGCCAGTGTACTTGATGTGGATGTACCTTTTTGAAAGGTACGTGAAGATTCTAAAAGCTTATGTTAAGAATTGAAATAGGCCGGAGGGTTGCATCGTGGAAAGCTACATAGCCGAAGAAGCTGTTGAATTTTGCTCGGAGTACTTGTCTAACGTGGAAGCAATTGGTTTACAAAATAAGGTAAACATGGAGTGAAAAGGTAAATCTACTGGTATTCCTTCCTCGGTTCCTCATGAAGCATGGGAACAAATTTATCTTTACGTGCTACATAATGCTCGTGAGGTGGAATCATTCATAGAGGTCCACAAAAATTAAATAAAGGTAGCAAGCCCAAAAAGAGGGAGAAATGAGAAGTGGTTGCAAGATGAACATAACTGGACATTTAGAGAGTGGATAAGGACACACATTTACTCTAAGGTTCACGAGTCAGGAAATGAAGGTGTACCAGAAGACTTGTTTAAGCTAGTCAGAAGCCCTCGTTGACGGTAATGAAATACACGTCATACTTAATAAATAGTTACACCTTCTATACTCGGGAGAGAGATGAGAAGCACCCGGTCTAAAATAGTGGTGTTAGTCTCCGTGCCGATACTATGCATATTTTGTTTGCAAAAGACAAGAATTTCGTATATAGAACATTGACCTACAATAGTTTTGTAGAGAACTATATTGCGGATTGTGAGTGGCACTTTTTATGTGTAAGTGGGCTGACAATAATTATGTGAAGGTTGATAGTGACGGCGCTACAGTTGTTGACTTTCGAAGAATGGGCTACAAGAATGATCCTTTCATTTTGACAACGAAAGTAAAACAAGTTTTCTATACAACTGACCCCAATGATTTGGAGTTGTCCTTAGTTGTTCTCATGAAGCCAAGAGCTATTCGTGATGGAGAAAGGGATGCTGATGATTGCAACGGCATTCCAACGGAGAGTAGAGTCTTGACACCCGTTGACGAGGTTGATGTTTTTGTTGATGATGATTCAAATCTTGTTCGCTTAGATGTTGAATGGACATGTGTTATAAATAATAGAAAGAGAAAAAAATGATAAACTATATGTAGTTGTAATTTATATAACCATTTAGTTAATATGTTGTTGTAATATTAATCATCAACTACTTTTATTGATGTATTATTTAGTATTTATAATTCATTCTTATTTAAAAATTTAATATTTTGTTTTACGGTTAAAATGGTTCTATGAGTTGTGGGCAAAAAGCTAATAAAACACGGGGTTAATAGGCCAACCCGTGGGATAACAAAAAAACAGCTCGATTTTTTTTTATTTGGAAAGAGCATATATATACGGTTTTTCTAGAAAACCGTCATTAAATCTCAACATTAGACGGCGGTTTTATAAAACCGTCGGTTAAAATACGCACCAAGTCTATTATTGTTGATATTAGACAACGGTTTATTAAGAAAACTGTCGTCTAATGTAATTTTTAGCGACGGATAAAACTGTCGTTATATACCACAAACATTTAACGATTCACGATTAGACGACGGTTCGCCTAGCGATTGTTAAAAACCAATTTTGTACTAGTGTACATATCATTAAACTAAAATCTAACATGTAACGAAGATCCTTCTAATTTTGACATGTTCATATTTTTTTTGAAGGGTTGACATGTTCATTTTAATATTAATGATAAATTTTTTTTTACGACGTGTATCGCTTCTAATTTCTAAGATTATGTCGTAGATGGAACCAGAAGTTGTGGAGTGAACAGGGATGGCATCGACTATTACAACAACCTCATCAATGAACTACTTTCCAATGGTTAGACTTACTTTTGCTCTTTCCCTCTCTCAATTCGAAACTAAAATGTAAAAAATAAAAAAATCTTTCAAGCTA